AGCCTAAGAATCCAAGACGCCAATGCAGTGCCTTTAGTAGTTGAGGCTGTGGCAGTATTAGCACTCATAAAAATGATCTCTGTAAGTTTAACATCTGGGGGAGGGTTCGTCTTGGTGGTTTCTGTTTGGCTTTGAGTCTTTTTTTTTTCACTTTAGTGATAGGAGCAAGTTTATCACAGGTGTATCTATCAATATGCAGCCCCGGGAGCTTCCTTTCAACCTTCCGAGGATGCCCGAGAATCCTTAGGTCACAGGAAATGTCTCAGCTTCATCCTGATCACCATCCCTGCACAGCTCAGTACTGCCTGGATCTGACTTTGAAAACTTACCAAGGTCACGCTGGGAGTGAGTTCATCCGTTTAGCTGCACCCTGGGCCTGTGGTCTCTTGCATTCACCTGTCAGGAAGGATGACTCAGCACTGCTGTAGCCTTTCTTAGAAATCAGGAAGCTTAACTGCTCAAGCTCCTACAGGAGAACCCCTCTTTAGGTCTTGACCCTTCTAAGAAGGGCTCATAGAAGGGGGGGAGGCTGCGATTCTGTAGCTAGACACTAGATTGCTTTGGCCGCATAGGCCCCGCTCTGGTATCTACAAAGACTCGGTCAGAGGGTGTTCACTTCAGAGAAAAACCCTTCCCCTACCTCTGTCTTTGCACAAACCAACTTTGGCCAACTCAGTCTGCTTAGGCCATCAGCGTTTACAGTCCTGGCACGCCTTGCAAATTGACGACGTCGTCAGGCCAGAAGGATGGTTAATAAAACCAACAGGCTTTATTTATGAGTTTCTTCTGACAGAAGGCAAATACAAGATGTGAGGGGAGAATGAAGTATCCTCCTGCCCTCGTTACTGGCAGTCGGGACAACATTCCTGAGAGGTTAATTGTACGCCAACCATTTTTCTGAGTAGCAGAGTGATTCAGGACAGAGCAGGACTCTGAAGTGCTCAATTCAGGTCATGGCAGGACCCTGCCGTGTGTGCAGAGGGACGGATGGTGAACTGAAGACAGAGGCTTGCACCTTCTCTCGCCACCACACCCCGTAACTCTATGCAAGCAAGAGCCAGCGGAGGACGAGCTGTCAGCAGCAGCTGGATCGATGGCTTCAGTGCCCGAAGTAAAGAGGATACAGCCCCACAGTCAGGGCAAAACACCTCTTGCCTGCTTGCCTGTTTTGACAGTGTGGTGCCATGTTACTGTTGCTAGTGAGGAAGGAGGAGGAAAGCAATGGGATGTGGGGACGGAAGGACGGAAGAGTCTGATTTGTCCCCGGTCATCTTGATTTCAGCAGCCTCTCTCCCCTCTCCTGAGAATTAGAAACTTAGGTTCCTGGGAGACACAACTTCTATAGGTGATTGCCAGATGTTTTGAAAAGTTTGATAGCGTTCTAATCACCACTTGGAATGCTGTGGCCTTGACTCCAAGAGGTCCTGTCCCCAGTCAGTCTGACCATGTCCTCTCAGACAACAAGGAGGACGTGTGGAGTGAAACAAGCATTTTTTGAGCCCGTCCGCCATGCGTGTGAAGCTGTTCCTGGAACCAGGATTGGAGGACCCAGCTGACTCTGTCAATCTTTCCTGGCTGGGACTAGCAGACTCTCGGTTATGTTTATTCAGAATGTTAATAATTTCGGAAATTATTAAAGTGGAACCCAAATACTTTCTTTTTAAGAGGCCATTGAGATCACCAATCATCCTGCAAACCTAATAAGCTGTGTACGTTGAGCAAGTCCAGGGCTCGACACTTGCAGTGAGCCAGCTGGAAGCGTGGCCATCTTCATGGGACACTTCGTGTGTGGAACTAAGGAGGCGTGAGAAAAGCCCTTTTAAAAACGAGGCCTTAAAAGTGCAATAACTGTGTCGGACAAAATGTTTTTACAAAGAAAAACAATTTTTCCTTTACCCCCATTCTCTGCTTTTCATTGTCCACTGCCGTTCCTCTACATTACCTAACCCCTCTGTTTTGCCAGCTATCACTCTGGGGACTCCTGTTCGGATTTTGAGGGACCCATTTAGGTGTGCCTTCCTAAGCTCTTCCTTCTCCCTCCCCAGCCAGAACCAGTGATGCTTTCGGTATCATTTGGGGCCACTACTGCTCATCAAAATTCCCTGCAGCCCTTCCTAAAAATATAAATCTCAGATCTCACCTCAACCCTACACGTTCAGAATGCATCAGGGTGGAGCCCTGGAATCTGCATTCCGAAGCACTGCAGGTTATTCAGATACTGCTGGTCCCAGGATCACCACCACGTGAACCCAGGCTGCTGTTCTTATGCACCTTGGTCCAACTTTGGTTATTTGCACAGGTCTCCCTAACTTCTTACTAACAAGCTTGCTGAAAACAATGAAACTGGCTCAGTGCCTCAAGTGGCTAAGCACCAGCCACATACACCTAAGGTGGCGGGTTCAAATCCAGCCCAGGCCCAGGCCCGCCAAACAACAATGACGGCTGCAGCCAAAAAAATAGCTGGGCGTTGTGGTGGACGCCTGTGGTCCCAGCTACTTGGGAGGCTGAGACAGGAGACTCGCTTGAGCCCAGGAGTTGGAGGTTGCTGAGCTGTGATGCCACAGCACTCTACCCATGGGGACAGCTTGAGGCTCTGTCTCAAAAAAAAAAAAGAAAAGAAAACAATGAAACTCACGGCATTCCCATTCCACTCGAAATATGCTTACTCAGTACATACTGTGCCTCTGACACATTTCTGAAAGCAGGGGACACAGCAGTGAATAAAACAGGGGGATCTTCTCTCTTAGACCTTACCTTGCAGGGAGGGAAGTCAGACAATAAAACAATAAATCAATAAGATCATTAATTATTATTTTATTGGATGATAAGTACCATGGAGAAAAAGAAGGGGGAGACAAAGGTGATGGAGTCTAGGACTGTGGTGGAGGTACACGCTAAACCTTTACTTAAGAAGTGATAAGTGAGCACTGAAGATGCTGAGAGGGAAGGCTGAGCAGACAGCCTGGGGGAAAGCAAATGTGAGAGGCTCTGGAGCAGATGAGTGCCAAGCACAGTCTAGGAACCGCAAGGGGATCAGTGTGGCTGGAGCACAGTGAGTAAGTGGCAGGCTGGAGAGTAGACATCGTAAGGGCTTGTGGACCCTGTAAGACCTCTCTCTTTGTCTCTGACCAAGACACTGGAATTCACAACATGAATACTCACTCCATGAATGCAGGAAGCACCTCTGAGGGGACAGGAAAAGGCCTCATGTGGCTTTGACCTAGACTAGTAACTGTGACACGTGGAAAAATTTTAGCATAGGTATTCTAACATAAATATTTTTAACCAGAGGCAGCTATACTCACCCAGAGCTCAGATTCCGGAGCCAGGATGCCTGGATCCAAGTACGTCACATCCTACCGGCTATGTGACCTTGGCAACCTCTCATGGCTTTGGTGTCCTCAGCCACAGAATGCAGAAAACAATAGTACCTGCTTCATGGAACTCTGATGAGGAAATAGGTTTCTACGTGAAGGAAAACAGCTGAAGAGTGTCTGAGGTGCTTTGAGAACCAATAAATATTTGCTATTATCTAGTGTGGATGGATAGAAGACATTTATAATGTTTTGAGGAATTTAAAGTGCTTCATATTAAATCTATTCCCTGGAGTGATAAATATATTGTAATAACATGCACTATTATAATTGTATAATGATATATGGAGAAAGATAGATCATTGTTGCACGTCCATTTGGGGGGATGCATGGAAAATGAAGGTAAATTTATTCAGTTCCATAAGTGGTGAAATGCACAGGAGTGTGTGAATATAGGGGTGCCATTGATGCTGATGACAACTATGTTGGGGGTCACAGCTATAAATGAGATGGAAGTCATCTCTCCTGGGTATTAGTTTTTCTTGAGGCTACCCAAGAGATTATAAAAAAAATGTGAACTAAACTTTGAATTCCATCTTTCCCCTTAGTCAGACTTTGGTTTACCTCCTCCAGGACACATTTTGGATAGAGTAATAACCATCTATCTCCAATTCCCCTTCTGCTCAACTAGTGTCACAGAGTCCCGATACAAAGGCTGGAAAAAATAACCCATTCATGTAGACATGCTTTGCACTGGCGTCGGACAGTTTCAATACACTCCAGAAAATCTCTTTGTTCACTACTAGGAATGGGTCTCCACTATGCAAATCTAACTCATGACTCATTTGAATGATTTGAATGTCTGTGTGCAGATGTCCAATGCTGGATGTTATTTAGAAGTAATGACAAACAGAGATGCAACTATTAATTTTCCTAATCTATGCCCATTTCTTTTCTTTTCTTTTTTTTTTTTTGGCTGGGGCTGGTTTGAACCTACCACCTCGGGCATATGGGGCCAGCACCCTACCCTTTTGAGCCACAGGCGCCTCCTCATCTATGCCCATTTCTCACTTTAATACTCACTGTTAAGAAACTTGTGTTTTTCTCATCATGCCTGTGTCCAGCGGTTAATTTTGATGGCTCTAGAGGTACAGGCCCAACTTCAAATCCTGGGCTATTGCTCAATGGTTGTGTGACCTTGGGCACATAACCTCTGAGGGCCTCAGTTTCCCATTGTAAAGTAAGGAGAATAATGCCAGCTTCAACTTCAGGCTGCTTTTAGGATCAAGTTAGCACCCAGCTAATACTAAAACATAGTAAATGTTCGCTATCAGCTGTCACTGGTACTGCTGCCAACTGGCTGGGCCGTCTCTTGACATCTGCTCTGTAATTCCGTAACTGGTGAGCGCTGCATGTTTTCTAAGTGTATTATAAACTGATTGCTGACCATTTTGTCCCCTTCTTGCTTTGGGAGCGTTACCTGGGGTGCCACCACTGCCGTCTATGAGTGTATTATTTAATCACGTTCCACCTTCACCAGCCCCGGGCTCCCAGCAGTCAGCTCCGCCCCGCCCGCCCCTCACTCCTCTAAATAAAAAGAATTGCACCGCATTAAAAGGAAGACCATGGATCGCTCACTCTATCGGCCTTCCCAACCCACCCCTCTAACTCTTTTTGTCGTTGCAGAATGTTCTGGAAGCTTTCCCTGTCCTTGTTCCTGGTGGCCGTGCTGGTGAAGGTGGCGGAAGCCCGGAAGAACCGGCCGGCGGGCGCCATCCCCTCGCCGTACAAGGACGGCAGCAGCAACAACTCGGAGAGATGGCAGCACCAGATCAAGGAGGTGCTGGCCTCCAGCCAGGAGGCGCTGGTGGTCACCGAGCGCAAGTACCTCAAGAGTGACTGGTGCAAGACGCAGCCGCTGCGGCAGACGGTGAGCGAGGAGGGCTGTCGCAGCCGCACGGTGCTCAACCGCTTCTGCTACGGCCAGTGCAACTCCTTCTACATCCCGCGCCACGTGAAGAAGGAGGAGGAGTCCTTCCAGTCCTGCGCCTTCTGCAAGCCCCAGCGCGCCACCTCCGTCCTCGTGGAGCTCGAATGCCCGGGCCTGGACCCCCCCTTCCGACACAAAAAAATCCAGAAGGTCAAGCAGTGCCGGTGCATGTCGGTGAACCTGAGCGACTCGGACAAGCAGTGAGCGCCCCGGCCGGGCGCAGCTCGCACTGCACGCGCCCCCGCCGCCGGGTCGCGCCGCCGCCGCCTTCGCTTCCTTCCTGTCCTCCGAGCCTGCTCAGGCGCAGCCTGGCCCCCCAGCCCATCCCCCCGCCCCTCAGCGGCAAGCACCTCCCCTGGGCTGACGGTGTCGCTGTCAACAACGTGGACCGCACGTGGAGATTTGCTGATGTGTTTCTGACCGACCCCGGGCCCCACGGGGGCCTCCCAAATCAGGTCGTGGATCAGGCCCCGAAGGAAAAGGCTGGGGAAGCAGCACCGCCCGCCCCCCAGCCGTCGGAGAGGCAGATGCGTGTAAATCTGGCAGTGACGTTTCCACCGTGTGGAAAAGCGAGTGTTTACCTGGCAATCCCCTACACTCCGGTGAAGCGAAGGGCCAAGATGCTTCACTCTTGGGAGCTGTCCCCAAGCCTCTCCCATTGGTCCCTAAACTTCTGTGATCCGCCCACTACCTTCGGCAGCTGCTCTCAGGCAGCAGGGGACAACTCGCAGGAAAATGTCCATGGACCGTGGGGGAGGAGGGGTCTCCTTGCAAACCTGACACCAAGAAGACAACTTGAGCCACTTGGATCCTCAAGTGGGCTTCCCTGGGGACCTTGCTAACTGCAGGCCACACCCTCCCCCACCCGAGCCACCATCGCCCTTTCTTCCTCACCTTCCTCACCCTCCACCTACACATTTGTGGACTAAAGATGAACTCCGGTGTGCATGCTCTTACCGCTGCAGTTAGAATATTACCACGCACACAGGTCTCTGTATTAACGCTGGTTTTATAATTGACCTATATTGTAAAGAGCTGTTAAAGAAAAAAAAAAAGTATTATAGACCTATCCATATATTGTTTCACACGTTTTGACGCTGGCTTTGCAGCACAATTCTGAGTTAGGAGGAAAGCAGGTCTGCCCAGAAGGTGTTTTTACTCAGCAATAAGGCCTGGTCAGTAATTCACTGTCATGCATCTATTCTTGGAGTGGGAGATTTTAGGAGCCGGATTTTAGGTGGAATATTATTTCACTGAAGGTACTAGAACATTGCAGCACGATGTAGGAATTGGGTTGGGGCAATAGGTACAGGAAGGTGAATAGTTTGGGAATTTGTTACTCCTAAACCCCAAAAGTCCCATGCAGATGTATACGTGGGCTGAGAACGTACGCTATTTTCACTGCCATCCCAGTAAGCCAAAAATACTTCCTGTTAAGAAAGATATTTAAAAATATAAGGAGTCAGATCACTTTTGGTATAGGAAAAAGAAATAAAATATATAGAATAGTAATTTAGTTGAGCAATCCTGCAGAAAACACCTCTCCTCCTTTTCCAAGTACAGATTTTAATAAAGGTCACTTTTCACTTTTATAACAAATTCTTGACATTTCCATGTTGTGGACTCTTGATAGAAAGAAGTAGAGATAACTTATTTTCCAGCAAAATTAGGCTTTCTTTGGGTCCCTTTGCTCACATGTCCTGGGAAGGCGTCCCTGTGAGTAGTGGTTCTGGAATCTGACCAATGTGAATGTGAATTCCTGGAGGGAGTCAGCAGACTGCAGATTTTGCACTGGTGATTCCCCAGCAAGGGCTCCTGGCAACAGGCTGGTTTCCTGGTACGTGACACAGACCTTCTGCGAGTGTCTCTGGGAACTGAAGCTTTTGACACTGGGCAGTGGCCGTGGATCTAGGCTTGACCTAGAGAGCAAGAATTGGGGATGGGTGTGTTGGTGAATCTTTTTCAGGCCGCTGCACGGCAAGGGTCTTTTCTGTCATTTCTGTAATAACCATGAGACCGGAGCAGACTGTGCTAGGGTCCAGGGCATCAGAGCTCTGTCAATAGGTAAATACAGCCTGAAATCAGGAGGCAGAAGTGAAAAGAAATCTTTGAGGGCTGGAACCTGGGAATGGAGAGAAAAAGTGGGGAGGGTGTCCACGATCAGAAGTGATTTTTGCATTCAGCAGAAACCCTCAAGGCAGACTCTGTGGCAGAACAAGACACAGGTGTGCTGAGATAGAAGTGAATTGACATGATCATAGTCAGTAGGAGGTGAGTCAAGGGGAGTCTCCACCCCAACTGCAAAGCCAACCCCTGCCATCTTATTAATACAGAACCCACATAAATAGGAGAAAGATTAAGCTGAGAATTTACAGAATACGAACCTGAGCACAGTCTCTTTTAAACCCAATCGTGGGTGTAGCAGTGAAAGCATTATGAGACGCTGCAGTGTGAAGCTCCTTCTGCGGGTTATTGTATGTACAAAGTTTACCTTGTAATGGCTCAAATCGTATTTAATTGTGTGTTTTTTTTTGTTCTGTTTATAAATGAAGGAAAGCTATAAGTATAATGTAATTATTTTATAGGTATACTATTAAATTATAGAACAAATAAAGATACTCTAGGCTTATGATGTGATCCTGGTGTGACGTGCCCTAAAAGTGGAATTCTGATAGTGTTGTCATGAGCGGTGAAGGAGCCCCAGGCTTTTGTCTGATTATGGTGAATTCAACCCCTATCCTGGGTCCGACCATCTCCTTTGGGGAGACGGGGCCTGGCATCTTCAAAGAGTTTCAGAATTAGGTATCCAAGGAGCAGAGGTGGTGGGTGTAGCTCTCAAGCTTGGGATTGGGGAGCTTCCAAGCTACACATCTCCCACCAGCGGAAGATGGAATATTCTCACTGTGCTCTCTGAATACGAAACCCGGAAAGAAGAGGCCTTGAGAAACTTCTGCAAATCAAAGTCCACTGTTATCCTCATCTTCCCTTTCACAGCCAGTGTCTCTTCACAAGCTAGAACTTGTCTTTTGTTTTGTTCATTTTCATATTTACTTCTCCCGGGATTCCGCATTTCTTAATTTAAATACTTTTTAGTTTCACAGTGACTCCGTTTTTCTACTAGTTGACTTACCTGCCATTGAAGAAACTCAATTATCAATAAAAAATTAAAAAAAAAAAACCTTAAGAAAATGGCACATGGTTGATTCACTGTGTGACTTCTAAGGAATTAAAGTCAACTTTCTAATAGATAATTCATGTTAGTTTATTAAATGTGACAGGTTACTCCATTGGGGAATTCCAATTCACTTATTTCTAAACTTGGCTGACTGATTTTTAAGTTCTAAAGGCAATGGAAATGAACTTTTACTGTTGCATGAACAACACAGCATGTATGAATTACTAGAAAGCGTACTGAATGATGAATGTAGCACCACTGATTATTACTGTCTGCATGAGACACAGCAGTGAGACCAAATCATAAACAATGCAATTAAAGCGTGTCGATCACCGTGCTATCTTCTGAATTCTACTTAATCCCCAACCTGGCCTCCCTCTTCTCCTGATCCCACCGTCACTCTTGAACACAGCAAGCAGCCCGTCCACTTTACCAAAAGCCAAATATGGGAAACCATGCCATTTATATTGTTGTCATTTGTACTCGCTTGGTTTTTTTTTTTTGTTTTTTTTTTTACTTCTGTAATTTTCAGTCAGGCAATTTTTCAGTAAGGCAAAAAAAAAAAAAAGAAAACCAGGGACCTTACTGCCATATCATTTCCTGAGTCCTGAGTTTCCTGCCTAATCAGCCTTCTTTTCTTTTTAGAATCTTTTTTTTTTTTTAATGTATAGACATATATACAACGTCTAGAGATTTTAGTGACAGGAATAGAGAAAATGTATCTACTCTATTTTGCCCCAAATCAATCAGAAGATTCCTGAATCTCTGTAAATTGATCACCCACTTTCTCAGGTGTGTTGAATATGCAATTGCCAAGACCTCCACCATACGCATCCCCTATCTCTGATCTGCTCTCATCTGATAATTATTCGGTGAATCAGAGTAGTGTTTCAGACAATGTTCATACACTTCGGGTCCCTCAGGTGTCAGAACTTGACATAGGATGGGGGCAAGACCAGTTCTCCTGCCTACAGGTACAGGGAAAAAAGCACACTTGCCAGATCACGTTCTAGAAGTCGTTTTCATCTGCTCTAGCAAAGAACAGAACAAACACAACTAACCAGACTGTGTATAAGAGCTGTAACTGGGGCCGCTGCCCTCCCTGGCATGTCCCATTTGACGTTTGTAGGAGCCAGCAAAATGTGGGCGGGGCTACTACAATCTTAAACTCTTTGAGTATTTTGTTAATTCCTTTATTCCTTCTGGAATTCAGTATTTCCTGATACGCCCATTTTGCTGTCGGAAGCTTCCACGTGTTCCTTGCCACTACAATAGCTCTTCCCTAACAATTCAGGGTCATTATGAGGAGTCTTCTACCCGGAAGACTGTCCCTTCCAATTATGTATTTGGAAATCAGGGGAAGAATCCCCAGGTAGGTCCATGGACTGGTGGGCCCACTGAGAGCCAGCCCTCAGCCAGGACTCTGGCGGCCCCTGTGTGTCCCTACATTAGCAGGGAGCCAGAGTGGTTTGCTGGGGCTCCAGGAAATAGTGTCAACTCAGACCCAGCATTCAGGGAAGCATATTTAGCTGAATAAGTGGTCCAAAGTTCTCTAGTTAAGGCATGAGGAAATAATAAATGAGTATATTTGCCCTGGTATTGCAAGGGTCACAGGAATCATTCACTCCTTTAGCCAGTGGATTCCAGGGAAAACCAGGCAAGAGATCGTGATATTTTTGTTGAGTTCCTGCCTTTTGCAGGATTATCCATTATTGATTTGTTTAGACAGTGTCAGTTAAGCAGGACCCGATCCCTACCTGCCACCTGGTCTATCTTGCTTCCAGAAACATTATGTTCTATTCACCATCTCCAATTCAGGAACTCCTGGACGCCACTACAGTCCTATCACTCTCTGTGACACCTGGCTTATTACTTTTAAAAGCTCAGCATTAAAACCTGGCTTTCGTTACTTTAGGATCCTGCTACTCTCCTGCCCACCAGGGAGCCTGGCTGACTGGCAGCACCTTTTCCTGAAGTTACCCCTGGCCTATGAGCTGACCCAAAATCTCTGAGCAGCTCACCAAAGCTTCAGCCCTTCTTGGAAGGACAGGCATCACTGCTTTGGAAAACAGAGACCTTCCTCGGGACATAGATGGCTAGTGTTTTCTTTGGGTGGTGGTGGTGGTGTTTTGCTTTGTTTAGCATTACATAGCAAATCCACCTTGGCAAGCCCATTTCTCTGAGCCTTTTCAGTGGTTCTCAACCTTCCTAATGCCATGGCCCTTTAATACAGTTCCTGTGGGTCATGACCCACAGGTTGGGAACCACTGCTTTAGATGCTTTTATCCACCAGGCATCATGAAAGTTCCTGTATTTCTACTTCATTGAGTGTAGATCAGAGCATTTGCAGTCCTGCAAGAATCATCCTAACAGCTGAGTAATACTTTTCTGGGGAAATCTGTTGTAGTGTGGCTGATGGGAGAGAGCTTTCTTGGTGAGAAGTATAACCCAAACCCTCTGCTCTTTCCCTCAGTCCCCTACTCAGGACACAGCCCCAAGCTGCTGCTCCTGGGGAGAGTTGTCCTTATCCAACTCAATGCCCAGTTCCTCCCCCTGGTCCCCCACTCAGGGCACAGCTCCACGCTGCTGCTTCTGGGGAGAGTTGTCCTTATCTGACTCAATGCCAAGCTTCTCTCCTTGGTCCCCCATTCTTCCCCTCCGTCCCTTACGCAGGGCACAGCCCCAAGCTGCTCCTAGCTACTTCAGTGACTTCAGTGTGTGCCCCTGTCCTTCCTCAGCCCCCTACACACCCCCAGGAGGGATGGGAGTCTAATAACCAGCCTAAGGAATTTGGGAGTTTGAGAGTCTCCATTGCAACTACCCAGGGACTTACCTCCTAGTTCTAGGGGTTCTACTGCTTCCCTATTGGGGTTCTAACCTTGACACAGGAGACTTGCTGGAGTTGAGAATCCAAACGTCTCTGAAATAGCACTTCCTTTACAACCGAGTCCTCCTCTGACTGCAGGAGACCAAGGCTTAATTCACTGCTGCCAGGGAGACCCCCTATCTTTGGCCTTCACATTCTTCCTGAATGGATGATTAATTACCCTGAGTCTTTTATTTTATCTTCAAGAAGCCATGACACTTGGAAATTAGTACCCAATCCCAAGGTGCTTATAGGTACTCTGTCCCTCATAACTTTAAAGCACCAAAGGCATTGCACCAGCCAGTGCGTGCCCCCACCAGCATCCCATCCTAATTTACCCTTGGGCAAAGTGTTAACCTTGTGCTGCTGTAGCATGTCAGGGGCTGTCCTTGTCAGCTGGCAGACGAGTGAGCCACCTCCAGATCCCACTGGAATATCCTTCCTTGCCCAGCACGGGAGCTGACTATGTTAGATTCATTTCCAAACTCTGAGAAAGGCTAGTCAGCAGGTGGACTGGGGAATGTTGCAGGACAGAGACCTGGAGGGATGTGAGGAAAACAATTGTATAGCTGGAAAAGCCATCTGGTCACAGTTGAGGTCTCCTATGATCCTATGGGGAGCCAGATGGCATTTTACAGTTGCCCCCTATTTAAGCAAGGGGGGGCAGGGCTTTGTAACCCACATCAATCAGTCACCACCCACAGACCATGCCCAGGAGGGGGCATGAATTTCCCTTTACTAAGGGTCACTCTCCAGTTCCTACTTTCAGCAGGGTTCAGGAAGTGACACAAGTGATGCGATGGGGACATCAGGTCTGTAGAGGGTATCCAGGCAGAGCACCACAACTGTCACCTGTGTGTGCGTGTGTATGTGAGTGTGTGTGTATGGGGGTCGGGGTGGAGGGGTGTGGACCACAGGTGGAAAGAAGAGGCAGGGGGTAAAGAATATGGAGGGTCTTGGACAAAACCCTGGGACGTTCCCCTGATCTCACAGGAAATAGAAAATCATTGACAGATTTCTCCAAGGGTTACCCTAGCCCCAACCCATAAGCAAAGTGGCCGGAGGGAACAGACTCTGGCTCTCGACAGGCCAGCTGAGGGGCCTTCTTGCGAGAATGTAAGCTAAAGATTTAGGGCCAGACCAGGTCATGGAATTGGATCTGAAAGGAAAAGAAAAATATGTGAAATATTTGCAGAATGTGGGGATGAGAAAGAAGGGTGTTAGTAGGAGACATTGGGGGACTCAATATGAGAGAAGATCTGGTATCAGAAGATAGCAATGTGGGTTTTTATAGACGTTGGGTCTCCAGTGGCAGTGCAATAATGTGAATAAACCTTTCCTCCCTGTTTGAAGAAATATGACTGGAATTTAAGTGAAAAGCTGTATCTAGAGAAGCTGATAGAGAAGCAAAGATGGTGACTTAAAAGTACAAACACATACAAGTGTGGAGCTTCTAACAGAGAGGGCAGCAGAGGGAAAAGAAGCCTTCGCAAATTCTCCTTCAAAAGAGTGGGAAGTTGGCCGGCGTGGTGGCTCACGCCTGTGATCCCAGCACTCTGCAAGGCCGAGGTGGGTGGATTGATTGAGCTCACGAGTCCGAGACCAGCCTTAGCCAGAGCAAGACCCCATCTCTACTGAAAATAGAAAAACTGGGGCAAGAAAATCTATAGAGCCCAGGCGTTGGAGGTAGCTGTGAGCTATGACGCCATAGCACTCTACCCAGGACAACAACTTGAGACTCTGTCTCAAAAAAACAAACAAACAAAAAAGAGTGAGAAGTTGACAATAATATGTAGTTTCAAATAGCTGGAAGGAGGCTCTTGAATGTTGAAAACAAAGAAATGCTAAATCTTTGAGATGACGCATGTGCTAATTCCCCTGATCTAATTCTCATCACTCTACATTGTCTATATGGCAACCTCTCTGTGTACCCCACAAATATGTCCAATAACTATTTGTCAACTAAAAAAAAAATATTTAAACAGTAGAAAGAATAGGAGATAAGAGAAAAAATGAGTAGCCTTCCTCAGGTGACATCCACCTATTGCCTGACATAAAAGTGGGACCCCCCAATGTTTCACTTCATCTTTTCTTCTAAGGCCTTTAAGCTTCTAAGCCCTTCCACCTCCCAGTGTATCTGCTGCCACGCGGACTCTCAGCAACTTCTAACCACCCCAGTGGCACCCCTCCATGCTCTGCTTTTGGGGCAATGATATGTCTTTCTAATGAACTAGTTATGGCCTGTATCCTACCCCCAACTCACACTCTTGAAGACCAAGAGTGTATTTAATAAACCAGGCACACATAAAGTCTCCAACTACTGCCTTTATCCGTCGGATTCTGCTGCCAGGTCATTATTCATCTAACAAAACCGTAGCTATTTAACAGGATGCAATCGCTAATTTATGGGAAGGAGGTACCTGGTACAAAATTATGAATTGGGTGTCTAATCAAGGCTGGAATCTTTAAAT